CCTCAAAAGTATCTTCAGAGTCTTATATGAAAAATTGACGTATTTGGGAGGCTAATGTTTATCCAGACACCATAGATTACCAGTGACTGTACCGAGCCTAAACCTATAATACTGTAATATTCAATAATTGTATATTGGGTCAGCAATCCCTATGTTTCATTGAAGACGATTGACAAGGCGATTAAGCTTTTTATTAAATTTTCCTTGCATTCGTACATTCATATGTGTGAAAACGCTCCAAATGATCTGTGGATCCGAGTGTTTTCGCCTAATCTGTTAGCCATTATCAAGGATGTTTGATATATATATATATATATATATATATATATATATATATTGAGAGAGAAGAGCAATCATTCTCTAACTTTTTGCTATACACGATATATACTCTATAACCAGAAGTCATAGAGTGTCAGACCCAGGGAGTGTTGTGGCCATGCCAACGACCCGCCTCGACCTAGCCAACGATTTAGGAAACTTTAATCGACACAAGCGCAAACAGTACCGACAAAATGAGGCGACACACCATCCTGTTGGAAATACCCTGCTCGTCTGATTTGTAGGGGTATGTTATCAATAGCAAACTCTTGCAGCATTTGTAAGTAATGATTTGCAGTCACCGTTGGGGTTGTAAAGAAATATGGGCCAATTACACTATGTGACTTTTTCTTTTGGGTATGATAAAGAATCGCGTGTATAGCAAAAAAGTTTGAGACCTCGAAGAACTCAAGGACAGAATGAAAGATGTAATATCAATTCTCCGTGAAATGTACAGTGCTGTTCGATAAAAGTGGCTCACCTGATTTTTTCGCCAATTGTTTTTGGAGACAAACTAATTTTTAATCTTACTAATATAAAGACCCCTTCCGACCACCTAGTAAAATAGCTTACTCACCCTAAGGTATTCTATTGATAATTATAATTTTGGATATAAATGAGATTGAGGGGAAAAAAAGTGACTCACTTATTTCCTGCAACTAGTAATATAACCGAACTGCTTTAAATAAAGAACAACAGAGGTATATTTTATTTATAATAGGTAATATAGTTCGAAATATTTAATAATCTATGGCTCCTCCTTTATTTTGAATAACCTTTTCAACCCTTTTTGGCATTGACTTGATTAGGTTCTGGCAAATATCATCTCCAAGCATTAAATTCCATTCGGATATGAAATTCACAATCAAATCTTTTTTGTTGATCAACTGCTTTCTCCAGAGCCTGTATTTTATAATGCTCCATAAGTTTTCTATGGGGTTGAGATCAGGGGATTGGGGCGGCCATGTCATAACACTCACCTGCTTCTCATCAAAGTATTCCTTCATCAATTTTGATTTTTGACAGGGAGCATTATCCTGCATAAAAATGAGCTTGGTGGGGGTCGATTTGCACCCTTTCAGCAGAAGGGAGCAGAAAAGACTCCAAAATTCTCTTGTACTGCTCGCTCCTGAGGGTCTTTTCAATAGGTTTTAAGAAACCAGTTCCATGAAAAGAAAAGCATCCCCAGAACATTATACTGAACGGATGCTTGACAGAACATACTGCTAAATTCAAAGAGCTTTCAAAGCTCCTTCTTCGGATTTTAGATCGCTTATCCTTTAAATTTAGCTCAACTTTCGTTTCATCGGAGAAGAGAACATTTAGTAAAATAAATCAGGTGAGTCACTTTTATCGAACAGCACTGTATGTCAAGGCACTTAATTGTACTGTTGATCGCTGGTTTTGTGCATCAGTCCTGCTGGTGGACAGGTGGAGACTTCAGTAAACTCTGAACAAATAATTCGTCTCATACTAGTGTTAACATAATTTTGACTCCTCCTGTATAATGCGTGTGTGTCATAAGCTCATAGTGCGCGTTTATGTTTATATGATTACATTGTTTTCTCTTTAAATGAACGAAGAGTGAAAGAGAAGAGGAAGAAGAATAAAATAGTGGAATAAAAAAAAGGAAAGCGAAAGAAAGCAAGAAAAAGAAAACAAATGAAAGGAAGAAAAACAAAGAAAGACAGTAAAAAAGAGAAAAAATGACGAAAGAAAGAAGAAAAAGAAAAGAAGTAAAAAATGAAGAACAGGCACAGCAAAACAAGAAAGTAAGCAAAGAGGAAAGAAAGGGATAAAATGATAAGGGGGGGAAACTATAAAAATAAGGAATAAAAGAAGGGGGGAAGACGGAAAGAAAGAAAGAAAGAAAAAACGAGGAAAAGAACGAACAGTAAAAGGAGTGAAAAGCAAAAGAAATATCATAAGACAGAATGAAAAGGAACGAATCAAAATGATAAAAATGTCAATGTTTAATTGGTTAGATGTAACCTTAAGATTTATGCAAACAATTTGTTTTCTTGCTTGTGGAACTCTCTTCCGGCTCCATGCTATCCAGCCAACATTGATCTTCAAAAATTTCAATGCAATGTCAAATAGTTATCTACTGTCTTCTTGGTTGCCCTTCTATTGTTCTTGCTCCTTAATAATGTATCTCTGCCCCCCCCCCTACTGCCCTGTCGACTGGGGGCTTCAGAATACACCAACTGTACCTCTGCAGAGGGGTAAGACCCCCTCCCAATGAGGCGTCCTGGGTATGACGATGAACTACATCCAGCAGCGAGGCCTCTGGTCAGGAGGTTTTAAGAAGCGTGGAACGACCTCTTAATTGCGGTTGTTCCCAGATTCCCTGACCCGAGGTGGTAGCACCTGTTAGTGTCTCAACTATGGGCAAATAGTTAAACCCCAAAATGAGGTTAGAACCCTATGAAAGTATAAAAATATAATTTTATATTAAAAATACCAGCAATATATTTTTGGAAAAAAAAAAAAAAAAACATTACCAGCAATACGTTTGATTCTCGTTAAAAACCCTCATTACAAAAATACATCAATAACACCTGATCCACAAATTGATTACTTACTAAAAATATATATTCTGTTCATGCGAACCTATCCTAAAAATCTTATCGGCATTAAATAACCCATTGAGGTTGATAAGCCGTAAAAGAAAATAAACCTAAACGTTTTTCTTATACTTTCACACTGTCACTCCCCTTGTGTCTTAGTGACTTTAATGCCTTGCCTGGGGTGATATGATTAAAAAAAAAAAAAAGCTAAATGAAAAGCAAACCAAAATAAATAAATAAACCAAAAGGAAAAGGCGCAAATAAACGAACGAGCCAATCCGAAAATAAATTTTTAGAAAGTCGATGAATCAGACGTGGTGTATGTAAGAGAAAGTAAAAGCCTCATGCCCCCCTCCAAAAAAAAAGAGTGAATGAATTTGAAACTGAGTAGTTGTGCGAGTGAATGAGGGTACCAAGCCAGAGCTAAAATACTTTATTTAGACAACTGATACCTCATCCAAAATATGGTAGATCTGATAAGCTTAAATAATATAAGCAAGAAGGCCATTCTGTGTTTTCACCAATTGCTGCTCCTGTCCATCGCCAGCTGCCGAATAAAAAGAAGCCTGATCCTAAAATACGCATTTTTTATTTTCATTTATTTCTTCTTCTTCGTATTATTATTATTAACTGGCAGTGTCTTTTGCTTTTTTACGTTTTGTTTTTTGTGGGGTTTTTTCTTTTATTTTTTTTTTTATTTTTTTTATTTTTTTGCTTTTTCGCTCTTTTTTTTTTATACCAAGGGTTACTTGGTGCAAAAGTCGGCGCAGTTGTGATAGGCAGGGAAGTGTTTCATAAATAAATAGTCCAAGTACCATACCTATACATTTCCATGTTTGCTCGCAAAAATAATGTTTAAAAAATACCTCCATAGATAATGTACAGGCTGAGATAGATATGAACATGTTTAGATAGGTAGATATGAACAAACACATAAATAGATATGAACATGCGAAGAGACATTGTTACCAAGTAAATTCATCAAAGGCAATTATTCCGCGGTATGTGTGGATAGTGCAGCAGACATCGGCGCAGGAAGTGTACTCGGCAACCCGAGTTCAAACTCAGCCTTTTCAGTTGCGACCATTTGGTGCTATTTCTGTGGAAAATGTATGAATCCAGCTCTTGTTCATCCCCATCCATCAGCTATGGACTAAATAACATTGTAGACATGTCCCTCAAGGCCTAGGCGGAAGTCAATCTAGAAGAACAGCAACCCTGAATTTACAGCGGAGAAACCGTTCACATTGCTCCTATTTTTACCAAATATTATTATAATTCACTTATAATAAAGTAATGAGAAAGCCATAATCGCCTTCATCTTGAAGGTCCATTGCATCTTTTTCTCGAACTATTACTTTTCACTGAGGATAGAGAGCTCACAGCCTAAAATTAGGGTTAAATTCTCCTCTTGTGTCATAATTGTTCTTTTAGCGACATGTATTCTCAAACTAAAACGTTTTCGCATGAAACTGATGTCTGTATTTGAAATGTGATATCTGTCTTCTGTAGACTGTTGCACAAGAACCGAACCTTTTTGATATCTACTTTGAAATTCAAAAGATATAAGCTAACCAGAAGTTTAGACGCAGTTAGTATAGCCCGCTTTGAAATGCTTTACTTGTTCCGCCATGATAACAACTGTTGATAAAATGATGGGAAAAAACGTAAGCAATTAACGAGTATCATGGATTCAAATGTATGTATTTATTGATTTCACAGCCATTATCATAAGGACAAAGCTCGAGATATATATATATATATATGAGACAGATTAAAAGATAATGCTTTATGTAAACAGATACGATTCCAAAGATTGATACTAATATATAATTGAATATGAAAAGACTCAAATGGATATGAATATAAATAGATGTAAACGAAAATATAGATATAAATAAAGAATAGATATTAACAAAATATAGATATGAATAAAAGATTGATAGGTAGAGTTGAATAAAATGGAGGTAGGAGTAAAAGATATATAATTATAATGGATATGAATAAGATACATCGATATGATATATATATATATATAATTTTGTATATCAGCAAACAGTATATAGAAAAATTGGAAAGGTTTCTTTGTGACGTGTTTCATCCAATGTAACACTAAGGAATGAAACGCATCGCAAAAAAAAACTTTCCCATTTGTCTTATATATATATATGATAGACGTGAACAAAATGACGCGTAGATACGATAGATAGATAGATAGACGTGAACGAAAAGACGCGTAGATACGATAGATAGATAGACGTGTAGATACGATAGATAGATAGACGTGAACGAAAAGACGCGTAGATACGATAGATAGATAGACGTGTAGATACGATAGATAGATAGACGTGTAGATACGATAGATAGATAGACGTGAACGAAGAGACGCGTAGATACGATAGATAGATAGATAGACGTGAACGAAGAGACGCGTAGATACGATAGATAGATAGATAGACGTGAACGAAGAGACGCGTAGATACGATAGATAGATAGATAGACGTGAACGAAGAGACGCGTAGATACGATAGATAGATAGATAGACGTGAACGAAGAGACGCGTAGATACGATAGATAGATGAGAACGAAGAGACGCGTAGATACGATAGGATAGAATGACGAACGAAGAGACGCGTAGATACGATAGATAGATGATAGACGTGAACGAAGAGACGCGTAGATACGATAGATAGATAGACGTGAACGAAGAGACGCGTAGATACGATAGATAGATAGACGTGAACGAAGAGACGCGTAGATACGATAGATAGATGAACGTGAACGAAGAGACGCGTAATACGAGATGAATGGATAGACGTGAACGAAGAGACGCGTAGATACGATAGATGAATAGACGTGAACGAAGAGACGCGTAGATACGATAGATAGATAGACGTGAACGAAGAGACGCGTAGATACGATAGATAGATAGACGTGAACGAAGAGACGCGGAACGAAGAGACGCGTAGATACGATAGATAGAATAGACGTGAACGAAGAGACGCGTAGATACGATGAATGATAGATGAACGATAGACGACGCGTGGATACGAACGAAGAGACGCGTAGATACGATAGATAGATAGACGTGAACGAAGAGACGCGTAGATACGATAGATAGATAGACGTGAACGAAGAGACGCGTAGATACGATAGATAGATAGACGTGAACGAAGAGACGCGTAGATACGATAGATAGATAGACGTGAACGAAGAGACGCGTAGATACGATAGATAGATAGACGTGAACGAAGAGACGCGTAGATACGATAGATAGATAGACGTGAACGAAGAGACGCGTAGATACGATAGATAGATAGACGTGAACGAAGAGACGCGTAGATACGATAGATAGATAGACGTGAACGAAGAGACGCGTAGATACGATAGATGAATAGACGTGAACGAAGAGACGCGTAGATACGATAGATAGATAGACGTGAACGAAGAGACGCGTAGATACGATAGATAGATAGACGTGAACGAAGAGACGCGTAGATACGATAGATAGATAGACGTGAACGAAGAGACGCGTAGATACGATAGATGAATAGACGTGAACGAAGAGACGCGTAGATACGATAGATAGATAGACGTGAACGAAGAGACGCGTAGATACGATAGATGAATAGACGTGAACGAAGAGACGCGTAGATACGATAGATAGATAGACGTGAACGAAGAGACGCGTAGATACGATAGATAGATGAACGTGAACGAAGAGACGCGTAGATACGATAGATAGATGAACGTGAACGAAGAGACGCGTAGATACGATAGATGAATAGACGTGAACGAAGAGACGCGTAGATACGATAGATAGATAGACGTGAACGAAGAGACGCGTAGATACGATAGATGAATGAACGTGAACGAAGAGACGCGTAGATACGATAGATAGATAGACGTGAACGAAGAGACGCGTAGATACGATAGATAGATAGACGTGAACGAAGAGACGCGTAGATACGATAGATAGATAGACGTGAACGAAGAGACGCGTAGATACGATAGATAGATAGACGTGAACGAAGAGACGCGTAGATACGATAGATAGATAGACGTGAACGAAGAGACGCGTAGATACGATAGATAGATAGACGTGAACGAAGAGACGCGTAGATACGATAGATAGATAGACGTGAACGAAGAGACGCGTAGATACGATAGATAGATATGGAAAAAAGAGATAGCTAGATGTCGACTGCGATAGGTATGACTATACTTCGATAGATGATTTATCATTTGAAGTGAGAGATATATAAATAAGCTCGAAGTGATATTAAAAGCTCTGATAAAGTTAGATGGTTATGAAGCGGCGATAAGAGTTATGCAGAGTTTCACAGACAGCCATAGACGCAAAGATAGCAAGATAAAGAAAAACATGCTATGACAGATGGAAAGATAAACTATCAGCCTGAGATGATGACGTGTTAGTTGCTGATGATTCTTATTTCTCTATCTATAATCTCTATGAAACAGTGCAAAGCCCCGAATATAATTATTTCCGTTTCTTACGCATATATTCATGAGTAAAGCAAATAAACAAATGCCCATTACATGCACATCTCTTTCGTGCGCACGCGCGCGTTCCCCACTTAGTTGTTACTATTTCCTTTTCTCTCTCTACTTTTCTCCTTTCTTTTTCTTCCCATTCTCTTGTTTTTGTCCCTTACTTTCTTTCCTTCCTTTCTATTTTTTTCTCTCTTTTCTCCCGCCTCCATCACTTTCTTTTTCTCTTCCTCTCTTTCAGTCTATGTTGGGTTAATGGTTAAAACGGATTTTTTTGAATTGAGCTGGGATTTCGGCTGGATTTGTGTTTACTTTCCTTTCAAGTCGAGGGTCAACCTTTATCTATCCTACATATTCTCGATTACTTACTCCTCTCTCAACCTTTTATCTATCCTAAATATCCTCATAATCTGCACTTACTTCCTCCTATTATATCCATACTACCTCATCCAGTAACTTTGACTGGCTCTTGAGCCTTGGATTAGGTGAATATTAGTAAAAAAAATAAAATTGAAAAGACATTAAATTACTCTCACTCTCTCTTTCTCTTATTCTCTCTTTCTCTTATTCTCTCTTTCTCTTAATTTCTCTCTTTCTCTTATTCTCTCTTTCTCTTTCATTCGCTCTCTTTTTCTTTCTTCGCTCTCTTTTTCTTTCTTCGCTCTCTTTTTCTTTCTTCGCTCTCTTTTTCTTTCTTCGCTCTCTTTTTCTTTCTTCGCTCTTTCATTCGCTCTCTTTTTCTTTCTCTCGCTCTCTCTTTTTCTTTCTCTCGCTCTCTCTTTTTCTTTCTCTCGCTCTCTCTTTTTCTTTCTCTCGCTCTCTCTTTTTCTTTCTCTCGCTCTCTCTTTTTCTTTCTCTCGCTCTCTCTTTTTCTTCTCTTTTCTTTCTCTCGCTCTCTCTTTTCTTTCTCTCATTCTCTCTTTTTCTTCGCTCTCTCTTTTTCTTTCTCTCGCTCTCCTCTTTCTTTTCTTTCTCTCGCTCTCCTCTTTCTTTTCTTTCTCTCGCTCTCCTCTTTCTTTTCTTTCTCTCGCTCTCCTCTTTCTTTTGTCGCGGAATCTTCTTTCTCTCGCTCTCTCTTTTTCTTTCTCTCGCTCTCTCTTTTTCTTTCTCTCGCTCTCTCTTTTTCTTTCTCTCGCTCTCTCTTTTTCTTTCTCTCACACACACGCAGATATTTTGAGTAAACCGATTCGTCACTGAGATGTCACCAGAATTAATAAAGTAGAGTGAGTGAAAATAAACATTTGGTTATTGAATTTTTGTTTATATATGAATCGGAATTAGACAGAATGACAGGATGCAGAACAAATAGGAAATATTTATAAATTTCATAAGTTTGATTTTATTAAAGCTTCACCAGAGGATGAGATATGGAGAAAGAAAGAAATTCTGGTATTTTTATTTTTGTGGTGTTTAATATTCAGTGGTTAAGCAGGCTTTACGGGCATTTGACTTAAGCAGCATTAGTATAATTAATGACGTTCTCAAGGAGAGATGACGCGACATTTCCAAGCTCAAAAAAAAAAAACGGATTCCAGTGACACCGAAAAAGGCAAAATAATTATTAAGGAACCTACCCCAACTTCTCAGCGTGAAAAAAAAATCATGGATCAGTTTTACCCCTGGCTATATATATATATATATATATATATATATACACACGTTATTAAAAATAAAAAACTGGTTCATATTTTACATAATGCCTTTTCAAATGTCTTATTTAAGGAAGAATATTTGCTAGTTACGGTTTTAATCCTTAATAAATTACTTTTATTCGGTTATAAAAAGTTATGTTTTTCTGGTGCTGAATTGTCTCGGGACTCGGTCGGTGGTATTGTGTCCGTCCCTTCCCGACCTGCATGAGACGTGAAGAATAGACGGACGCGTTGTCGAGACGAATGCGGCGATTACACATTACCCAAGCTCACTCATTTGTGTCTGTGGAAGATTGGTTTGATGACGTGTGAGCTTCTTCTCATGTTGGAAATGAAATAGATTCTCTCTGACTTTACTGATTCGACCCAGGAATGTAAATGTTATGTCAGCCCATTTCAGGAAATAAACATGGGGAAAAACGTCTACACAAACGTCACCAAACCATTCTTCAGAAACGCCAACGTGCAGATTGACTATTCCGGGTTCGGTTTGAAATTCAAACAAAGATCACCAGAAGAAGGCCGGAGCGTACAACGGCCGAAATGTTGTGAATGTGACAATAAAAATGAGGACAACAGTCCAAACAACGTAAATAGTGTAGTTACAATACCCCATCTCAGAAATATAGACAGAAGTTTTGTTTCATAATTTTATCCTCTATATGATCAGGAAAATACGAAGTTAATTTAAATAATTTTGTCTATTTTCTTAAGTATATTTAATAAAGCCAGTATATCCAACTATTAAACAAGCATATTATGTTGACTTCTAAACAGTTTGTTTTGTATATCAACTTCATTCTCCAACGAATAAATTCCAATTAAATTTTATTCAATTATATATTCACCATTATTTACAATTCCATGTTGCCACTTCTCAGCCAGCACTTTTATATCTTTTAAGGAAAATTCCGTAGGTTTTGATTTGAAAAACGTTTACAACGATCAAAAAAAGTTAATAATCGGATGGTGCAAGGTCAGTTGAATGTAGCATTTCCGGAAGAACTGAGCAACTAAATTTCATTTTTTTTTTTCCGTGTGTTGTGTTGTATGCGAACTTGTCATGGAGGACACTTTTTCCTAGTGATCAGCAAAGTACGTGTTTCAACCAAACTTATATGGATACGTTGCAGCTGCTGGATTTATAAATGGGCATTTAAATTCTTTTTATTTATTTATTTATTTTTATTTTTTATTTTTTTTTTTTTGTCGCTTTGAGAACTATAAATATCTCGTCGTTCTCGTCACATGCGCAACATTATCTTACTTTCATGGAGCACAAGATTTAAACATTGTCGTAGGTAGTCCATTTTTATCACTTGTGGTGATATATTTAAGGAACGGTTACGTGGAAATATTCTCTATTATAATTGGTTCCAAAAATACGGAAATTACTTATGACTCAGTGTAACAGATCTCTATCAGATCTGTGTTTTAATGTATTTCCTCCGAAGTAAAAATATAAACAAAAAAGAATTTTTTCTAAGTATTGTTAATATGTATTTTTTTTTTTTTTTTTTTTTTTTTTTTTTTTTAAACATTTCACCCCAAGCAAGATGGGAGTTCCACTAGTACGCAAGGGGTTACAGAGAATAAAAGCAAGAGTAAAGAGGGTTGTTTGAGGAAAGAATATGGAGAAGGACGGGGATCATGAATCAAGGCATCAGATGTTGATTGACATTACATTTAAATTTACAGTTATGAGGGAAACAAGAGGAAGGGAGCTCCACTGTCGGGAAGTGAGAGAGAAGCTGTTGGAGTAGAAGAGGCGGTTACATTTAACTTTTTCGACATTGAAAGGGTAGGACCATGATGCCAACCTAGTAGCACGTTAAAATTCATACAGTTGGGGTACCAGTGAAAGTAGCTCGTCAGAGCAGTTGCCATGGAATAAGTCATTTTGTCTATCACGCCACCCTGTCCAGTATTTTGTTTTTCTTTGATTTTATAATACTTTTCTTGATATCATTGTTGTCCATTCATCATATGAACTTTAAGCATTTCGATCAGACTCTGTAAATATGTTACGCCCAGGTTTCGATTGCCGCCTTCTTTACATCATTTTTTTTTCACGACCATTTCGTGTTATCAGTTGGAATATTCTCTGAGTGGCAGTGTCGACAAGATCAGAAAGTCGCTCTAATGACGAGCGGAAGTAAAGATGGAGAGATAAAAACAAACTGATAAGTCCTCTATTTTTTTATCCACACGGGTGGGATCTTCAATCAACGACAGCACGTATAAGCGCACACAAATTAGTAAAGAGATCGGCATACACGCACACACATACCCTCCTAGAGATACATAGATGCACATACATAATTACGTAGATTCCATTGTGTGCCTATGTATATCGAATGTATATATATATATAAAGAAATTGTGTGTGTGTGTACCGACAGGTGAGAACAACATAATATACAAACGCACATATCATATATATGTGTGTGTGTGTATTTGGGCAACAACCTTTCATTTTAAACATCTTTTATTAAATATGGCAGACAAGGAAGATTTAATTAATTTTTTATTTAATCTTTCCAGCGACCTTACTTTTTCTGTTTGCTAGTAGTAACACAAACACTTTCCATAATTTTCATTGTCGCAAGTGCCTTCGGCCACTCCTTTAGCCATTTTCAAGGAGGAGGGTGTTCCTTGCCTCCTATATTTAACGAAAGATATATACAGTGTCACCCGGATATAAGACAGTTGCCAGGACAGGAGAAGAAGTCTCTTATATCCGGGTTTCTCTTATATCCGGGTTTGGTCTATTTTATATACATTAACACAGGCTCTAATTTGGGACCAGAGAAAATCTCTCTTACATCCGGGTCACACTGTATATTGTATGTGTGTTTATTGCGTTCAAATATGGATTGGAATTCAACAGAATTATTGGATGAAGAATAAATAGGAAATGTTTATAAAACTAATGTTTCGCTTTTATTAAAGCTTCATCAGGGAAAGAGATATAGAAATTTGTTTGTGCATATATATATAATATACAGTGTAACCCGGATATAAGAGAGTTGTCGGGACCGGAGAAGAAGTCTCTTATATCCGGGTTTCTCTTATATCTGG